AAACAAAAAAAATAAACAGTTAACATTTCTTGAGTACCTCCTATGTGCCTGGCACTGTGCTTAGCATTTTCCAATTTTTATCTTGTGATCCACACAACAATCCTGAGAGGTAGGTGCTATTTTTTTTTACTTGTTTGCAGTTTTTATAGCCATTTTTTTTCAGGAGGATGTTTGAATTATGGTTCAAAGTTTCACAATTTTCCTGTTTGATAAGAATTCATAGCACAAGTACCCACACAAATGTATGATATTTTCAAAGATGACATTTCCTAAAAGAAACTGATGAGAAAGCATAGCTTTACAGTTTAGAAACACAGAATCACAGAATCTCAGCATTGTAATGGACCTCAGAGGTCAGTTAATGCAACCCATATATGAACAGGAATCCCCTTTACACTATTTATAATAAATTGTACTCACCCTTCCTTTTGCTACCACCAACTTGGGGGCTAATCCATTATCCCCAATTCAGGGTCATCCATTCAGCTTTGGAAATCTGCTCTGGAGTAGACTTTTTTGTTTGGTGAATGAGGTAAAACTCAATTCATTGTATCTAGCCTACTCCAGACCTTGTTTTGCATCCTCTGCAATCTTGTACCCCATGTAACTGTCTTCTCTGGTATAATACATATACTTCTGCCTCTGACAAAGCTTTTCATATCTTTTTTAATCTTTTTAAAATTAATTAATTTAGTTTTAGTTTTCAACATTCATTTCCACAAGATTTTGAGTTCCAAATTTTCTCGCAATCTCTCCCCTCCCCCCCACTCCAAGATGGCATGCATTCTGAATACCCCTTCCCCCAATCTGCTCTCCCTTCTATCATCACCCCTTCTCTTATCCCCTATTTTCCTGTAGGGCAGGATAGATTTCTATACCCCTCTGTCTGCATAGCTTATTTCCCAGTTGCATGTTAAAACAATTTTTAACATTCACTTTTAAAACTCTGAAATCCAAATTCTCTCCCTTCTTCCCTCCCCACCCATCCTCATTGAAAAGGCAAGCAATTTGATATGTAGTCATGCAAAACACTTCCGTAATAGTCATGTTGTTGAAAAACCAACTGTATTTCCCTCCATTCTATCCTGTCCCCTGTTTTTTCTATTCTCTCCTTTGATCCTGTCTCTCCTCAAAAGTGTTTGCTTCTGCTTAACCCCTTCCCCAGTCTGCCCTCCCTTCTATCATCCCCCCCTCTCTTATCCCCTTCCCCCATTTTTTTCTGCAGGGTAAGATAGATTTCCATACCCAAATGAGAGTAAGACTCACTCACTCCCTCTCACCTGTCCCCTCTTCCTCTCTCCTGTAAAAGCTTTTTCTTGCCTCTTTATGTGTGGGATAATTTACCTCATTCTACCTCTCCCTTTCTCCTTCTCCAAGTACAATCCTCTTTCACCCCTTAATTTATCTTTTAATATCATTCTTTCATATTCAACTCACACTCTGCCCTCTGTGTGTGTGTGTGTGTGTGTGTGTGTGTGTGTATGGGTATGTATATTCTCTCCAACTACCCTAATATTGAGAAAGGTCTCATGAGTTACAAATATCATCTTTCCATGTAGAAATGTAAACAATTCAACTTTAATAAGTCCCTTATGATTTCTCTTTCCTGTTTATCTTTTCGTGCTTCCCTTGAGTTTGATATTTGAAAGTCAAATTTTCTATTCAGTTCTGATCTTTTCATCAAGAATGCTTGAAAGTCCTCTATTTCATTGAATGTCCATTTTTTCCCCTGAAAGATTATACTCAGTTTTGCTGGGTAGGTGATTCTTGGTTTTAATCCTAGCTCCTTTAACCTCTGGAATATCATATTCCAAGCCCTCCAATCCTTAATGTAGAAGCTGCTAAATCTTGTTTTATCCTCATTGTGTTTCCATAATACTTAAATTATTTCTTTCTGGCTGCTTGCAATATTTTCTCCTTTACCTGGTAACTCTGGAATTTGGCTATAATATTCCTGGGAGTTTTTCTTTGAGGATCTCTTTCAGGAAGTGATGAGTTGATTCTTTCAATTTCCATTTTACCTTCTGGTTCTAGAATATCAGGACAGTTTTCCTTGATAATTTCTTGAAAGATGATGTCTAAGCTCTTTTTTTTTATCATGGTTTTCAGGTAGTCCAATAATTTTTTTAATTATCTCTCCTGGATCTATTTTCCAGGTGAGTTGTTTTTCCAATGAGATATTTCATATTCTCTTGTATTTTTTCATTCTTTTGGTTTTGTTTTACAATGTCTTGATTTCTCATAAACTCACTAGCTTCCATTTGCTACATTCTAATTTTTAAGGAAGCATTTTCTTTAGTGAGCTTTTGGACTTCCCTTTCCATTTGACCATATTTGCTTTTTAAGGCATTCTTCTCCTCATGGAGTTTTTGGACCTCTTTTGCCATTTGGGTTAGTCTATTTTTAAGGTATTACTTTCTTCGGTATTTTGGGGGTCTTCTTTAGCAAGCTGTTGACTCGTTTTTCATGATTTTCTTGCATCACTCTCATTTCTCTTCCAAATTGTTCCTCTACATCTCTAACTTGCTTTTCAAAATCCTTTTTGATCTCTTCCATGGCCTTTGATCTCTTCCATCTCTTCAATTCATATTTTTCTTGGAGGCTTTGGATGTAGGGCTTTTGACTTTGTTGTCTTCTGGTTGTGTGTTTTGATCTTCTTTGTCACCAAAGTAAGATTCTATAGTCTGAGTTTTTTCCACTGTTTGTTCATGTTCTCAGCCAATTACTTGACTTTTAAATTCTTTGTTAAGGTAGGGCTCTGCTTCCAGTGTGGAGGGTGTACTGTCCCAAGCTTCAGGGATTTTGTGTAGCTGTTTTCAGAGATACTTCTAGGGAACTATAAATTTTCAGTTCTTCCAAGGTGGTATGATCGAGAGGTGTTTACTCCTTTCTTGGCCTATGCTCTCATCTATGAGTGATCACAAGCACTCTTTTCTGCCTTGGAACTGTAAGAAGGATTCCCTCTCCACTGCCAATACAAGCTTCACCATACCAGCACTCCTCCTTTCCCTAGGAATGCCACCCAGGATTGTGACCCAGAACCAAGCATGAACAAAGCAAGAGAATCCTTCCTCAGCTCCAGCAAATAGATCCTTCCAATCCCTCTCTGATCAGCTGCTCAATCCCCATATTGTCTGTGGGCCAAGAGCTCCAGAAGCAACCACTGCAGCTGTGACCCTGGGGCTGTGCTAGGGCCAGTGCTGGACCACACTCCTCTCCCATGTAGGTCCAACAGACCTTTCCCACTGACCTTCTAAATTGTCTTTGGCATTTGTGGGTTGAGAAGTCTGGAAACTGCCACAGCTGCTGGTGATTCAGTCCCCTGAGGCCTGCTCTGGGTTTGCTCTGGCCCTGTCTTTGCCTGTGTGGCCCACACTGCATTGTGCTTTTCTCTCAGGCCTGCACAACAGACCTTTCCTATCAATCATCCAGGTTGTCTTGGGCTGGAAATTTGTTTCACTTTGTCTTTTTGTGGGTTCTGCTGCTCTAGACTTTGTTTAGAGTCATTTTTGATAGGTATTTGGAGGAATTAGGGAAGAAATCAAGCAAGTCACTGCTTTTACCCCACCATCTTGGCTCCATACTGTATCCATTAAACAAATGAGGAAACTGAGGAAAAGAGAGATTACATGACTTACCAAGGGTCAGACAGCTACTAAGTGTCTGAGGTGGGATTTGAACTCAAATCTTCATGACTCTGGGCACTGCATTCTTTCCATTGCACCACTTAGCTGACCAATACAACCTCTTCATGACTGATTTGCTCCCAGGACTCATTTCACATTTAGGTCAAAATGATTTCCTCATGACAGACCTGAAGCATCCTGAGGACACAGGAGTGCACTCTCGTTCTGCCATGTAGTCTAGCACCTCATGCACACAAAATATTCATTGACAGGAAGAGTCACTTCTGACCCTTCCCTGTCCCTTGTCCAACACATATTACTTGCAAGCTCTACTTCATTCCATCAGGTATTTATCTTTTATCTAAACTATTATAGCCTTCAAATACTTGTCTTGCTGTCTATCCTTTCTGAAATCAGTTTTCAGTGCCACATTCTGTGGGGTCATCATGATAGACCACCATGATGATGTTGCACCATGATGATGTTTACTTTAGTAAAGTTTAAACTCCTGATCCTGGCATTCAAGGTCCTGCACAAAAAAAGTCCCAACCTATTGATCTACCCATATGTCACTTTCTCTCCATTCATGGATTCATGATCTAGAATTCAGGGGTGCAGAGCCTGCAGCCTCAAAGCCACTTGTAGTCCACCAGGTCCTGAAGTGTGGCCCTTCGACTGAATCCAAACTTCACAGAAGAAATCCCCTTAATAAAAGGATTTCTTCTGTGAAGTTGGATTTAACCTAGATAAGCTAGACTACTTTATGCCCTCCCTCCCATTATCATCCTGCAGGTTCCCATTTCAATTTCTCTGCTCATATCATTTCCCATGCATTCAATAGCCACCTTCAGTTTCCACACATCTCTACTTTATGATATCTTTTATGAATTTGAAGACTCATCTCTTCCATGACACTTGCCATGATTCTCTCAACCCAGTAAGTATCTTTTTTATTCCCTAATTTCTTTTTAACAATTTTTATGTCTTTGCTTTGCTCCTATCACATTCTACTCTGTGGCTTGTTCATTTCTGTGCATCTCATATGCATCACACTCACAACAGACACATAGTTTGTTGTGCATTTCAATCCAGAACAGTGATGTGCACATAATAGGCACTTACAAAAGACTTGTCTTTTGTGGGGGGGGAGGGGGAAATATGATGATCTCTCTGCCCAAATCATTCATGAATTCTGAGTAGAGATCATTTTCTTATTGCCCCAGAAATATAATATCCATGGCCTGAGGGGGGCAATATTGCCATTGTCTTACATGCCTTCAGCTGAGTGTTCAGGTTGAGCATCTATGAATGTGATTACATATAGTATGTGAAATAAAAGACCAGGCTGATTGGCTAAGCAGTCAGGCTGAAAACCCTTACCCTATTTCATAGGGTAGAAGAAAACAGGACATATTTAGAATTGACAAAGTGTCCTTTGACTAAAGAACCCATTTCCTACAATCCAGAACTAGCTGTTCACTGAGCCTGGAATTGGAAGATGGAGACATGCCATGGAGCTTCATTAGTGATCCTGTGTCTTCACCTGGCCTGTGAGTTGAGGGGGTTTCTGTAGATAGGAACAAGAAAGGCCAGAAGTTAATCCTCAAAGGATTTAGAGACAGTAGAGGACTGATAAAATAGGGCTTCCTGACTGTGTCATGGAAATGATAGATATAAAATAATAGGAGATGCTGACCTGGTGACCAATGACCTATCTCTGACATTGTCTTTCTGTCCAGGGGTGAGCTGCCTACAGAAGGTGGAGCAGAGCCCTCAATTCCTGAACATCCAGGAGGGAGAGAGCACCATAATCAACTGCAACTACACAGAAAATACTAACCAAGGGCTGCAGTGGTTCAGGCAGGAGCCTGGGAAAGGCCTCACCTTACTGTTTTACATAATTTCAGAGGAGAATCAGAATGGAAGGTTAAGATCCATGATCAGCAGGAAGGAGCGTCATAGTTCCCTGCACATCACTGGTGCCCAGCCTGAAGACTCAGCCACCTACCTCTGTGCTGTGGGAGCACAGTGATCCCCAGGCACCTGCAGGCTGTGCACAAACCCTAGAGCTGAGACACAGACCCTTCCAGAGAGCACATTATAACACTCTAAAAGTATACCCACTGCTTATTTTCCTTTTTCTCATTTAAAGTCCATCATTTGATTCTGGGATCAGTCATTTATCTAATGCCCCCTGCCTTGGCCTGTGTGCTTGTTGGTAATACAATGTTATAGAACAGAACCAGATCAACTTTGATGGTAGCTAGTGACCTAGTAGAGGTCACTTCTCTTAATCACTCAGTCTAGCCTCAGAAAATACATTAGGGGTCAGCAATGTGGAGAGTGTTGTAACATGGCATTAACTGGCTAATTCTAATATCATGGAGACATTTCTTTATAATGGGATATAGCCCCATGCTCCACTGTTTTTCCGATGTGAAATTTTGCTCCTTATTCCATGGGCTGCAGCTGGCCCCCAAGTTCTATATCAGTCTATATGTGTCCAAAATTACTAAAAGTAGGAAATATCTCTCATGTCTGTCCTCTGAACCCCTATCACATACTTAGACTCTTCCTTCCTAATTCATGATCCTTCAGTCGGAGAATTTGACAGTTAACTAATTTTGTTAAAGATCTTTCGATTTATTATGACATTTGGGTAAATAAAACAGCCCAGTAACACTTAGTCAACAATATAAAAAGCTTTCAAATAGCAAGCTGCAAGATCTGGTGCAACTTGGATGGATTCCCCTCTCCTTCAAATTCCTTCCTACCTTGTAGAAGAAGGGAAAGGAATAGATTTGGCAGGTTGTAGGAGTCACTAGAATTTCCTCATCAAGTGCCTGGAGAGAACAGAGGGAGGGGGAAGCCCTAGAATTGCCTCCACTTGGTGTCACTATAGCTATTTTCAGGGTTTGTTCATCCTGATAGGCTCAAACCCTCTCCATTCTGGTCTTTATGCACTCCACTACTTCCCATCTCCTTGAGATCCACAACATTTCTGGGATCTTCCAGTGGTCCATAGCACTCCATGGATCTCTGATCCCACCACATTCTATCCCATTTAGGGCCATCCTCACCCCAACCATTGAGAAGAAAAATCCAAAATGGAGTTTGGACAGTGAAACAAACACAGTCACTCTATGAGGGAGCACAAAATAACATCTATGACAAGCAGCATGGGTGCTAGTATACACTTTCTAGTGCTACTGAAGCTACACCTGCCCACATCTGGCTCATTTCCATACATTCTGCAGTCACCAAGGAAAGAGTTTGTCAATTAATTGATTAATTAATTAATTATTGGACAATTAGTGTTTGAGGTATATACTTTGGCCACTGGGGGGTGCTCTGATGACATATAAATAAACTATTTGGGGGAGAGGGTGAGCCTATCCTGACTAGAGATCTCTAGACCTAGTCCTGTGTAAATTTAGAGTTATGACCTGAACTTTGTGGAGGAAATAAATTATAGGAGAGATTCTCATCCCTGTTATATTAGCCATCTTCAGGATTTAGAGAAGGGATCTCTCTGATTCTCAAGGTAATTGTTTCATTAAGAGTATTCAATTTGGTTTTTTTTATCATATGATTTATTTTAAATACTATGGTAACTATAAAATGCTAGCAGAGTAAAAGAACAAAAATGTAATCTAAATAGAAAAGGCCTTTCAATAGTAAGTTGAAATTATTTCACTTAATGAAGTCTCTTCTCCAGCAGTTGGTACTTAGAGGTGGAGGAGAAAAAATAAGTTAAGGACCACAGAACCATAGAAATGGTTAGACATTTTTTTAGATCCTACTGAGATGAGTTGGGCAAACAGTCAAAGGAAACAGACAAGAAGCATGAGGATTTGGCACCATCTTTCATTGGTTCTCTCTATCTCTGGGATTTAATGACAACTGCTTATCCGGTCTTGTCCTCTTTAGGGCTCTGACAAATGTCACAGTCCTCCTAAAGTGAATTATTCTCTCAATGGAAATAGCAAAGATAGCCCTTTCTTGCACTTGAGGCTACTTCCTCCTTTATAGCCAATTAAATTCAGCCAGAGTCCAGGGTAGCCAGGGATAGAAACTTTATTCCTGGGCTCCCCAGGTTTCCTTTTCATGCAAGAAGCCACAATGACTTCTTCAAGATAGAAAAGAAACACCTGAAAGTCATGAATTGGTTGCCTCTAAGTCTCCCACCCAGGTCTGGGGCCCAGATCATGCTATGAGTTATTGTTCAGTCATTTCAATCGTGTCTCGCTCTTAATGACCCCATTTTGGGGATTTTCTTGGCAAAGATACCGGAGTGCTTTGCCATTTCCTTCTCCAGCTTTTTTTTTTCACAGATGAGGAACATGCCATGAGACCTCAATACAAATGAAGAAATCGACGGCCTCTCAACTTTACTTCTGCAATATCCCTCACATATGCCCCTATCATTCCTTCAACACTCTCACCACTCTGGTGCAGGCCCTGGACTATTTCAATAGTCTGCTGGAGGTTCAGCCTGCCACAAGTCTCTCCCCACTCCATGGCCCTCTTCCACTCAGCTATGAAAGTCATCTTTCTAAAACACAGATCTGACCACGTCATTCCCCTTACTACATCAATTCTTGTGGTCCATCATCACCAGGATTGAATCTGCTCTCTGGCTTTCAAAGAACATCATAATGTGTTCCCCCCAAAATTTGCCAGTCTTCATACCCCTAACCACCCCACTCCCAATTATCCTTTGGGTATTTCAGTGACACTGGCCATCTTGCCACACCTTTTACCAAAGACTCCATCTCGTGAATCTGGGAATTTTTCCTGGCATTTCCACTTCCTCTTGAATGCCCTCTCACCCATCCCTGCCTCCTGACTTGCATAGCTTTCTTTAAGTCCCAGCTAAAATCCTGCATTCTTCAAGAAGCCTTTCTTATTCTCCCTTAATTCTACTGACTTCAATCTGCTAATTATTTCAAATTGAATATGGGTGTGTATATTTGATGATATGTAGCTGAATGCATATGGTCTCCCCTATTACGCTGTGACTTCCCTCATGAGCTGAGACTTCCATTTGCCTTTCTTTGCATTCTCAGCTCTTAGTATGGTGCTTGGCACATAGTAGGTGCTTAATAAGTGTTTATTGACTAAGAGAAAGAGCCTGGGGTTTGGAGTCACAGGGTATTGTATAAAATCCCATGTCTGAGATGTCACTATGGACTTCCAGTGTTGGTGGACACTGGATGACACAACCAATCCAGAATTAGTTTCCTAATCTGGAAAATATGATTAGATCTCAAACCATCTGGTTTTTTAGGTCCTTTACAGCTCTAAAGTTATGATCTTATCATCTTAAGATGTTCTCAAAAGTTCCAACAGATTTTATATCTTAAGAATAGTACTGAAAGCATCATACTATACCCAAAGGAGCCAGGAATCTTTCCAAGTGAACATTTTCTCATTGCCCTAAAAATACCATGGTTGACCTAAGGGGGGGCAGGACTACCATGGGCAAAATGTCTACAGTGGAGGATCTGTGTCTCTGAATGGGATTTTGTGTAACTGATGCAACTCTGATTGGCTGAGCAGCCAGGCTAAAGCATCACTGGTATTTGCTGGTACAATGAGTGAATTACATTTAGATTTGAAAAAGACACCACAAATAGAGAGTACTGGTGTGTAATCCACATATCAGATCTGAGCACTTATTGATCAAGGCAAAGGAGAGAATGGAGAAACCCTTAAGGGCTTCACTAATTATCATGTGGCTTCTGCTAAAATGTGAGTTGAGGTTTCAGGATTTGGGAAAAGGGAGACTCACGATTTCCCAAAAATATTATATGGGACCTAAAAAGGGGACATTCCCAAAATGCTAAGTGGGAGAGGCAAGTCATAATCAGATGTGGTTTCCATGAATGCATTGTGTGGGGCAGAAGGTAAGGGGAGCAATGTTCCTGGGGATGGTGACCTGATGACCAATTTCCAATGTCTGAAATTCTCTTTTTGCACAGGGGTGAGCTGCCAACAGAGGGTAGATCAGAATCCTCCATTTTTGAGTGTACAGGAGGGAGAGAACATCACTATCAACTGCAGTTATTCAGATCAAAATTCTCAAGGCCTACAGTGGTTCAGGCAAGATCCTGGGAAAGGCCTCACTTTACTATTTTACCTGGCTTCTGGGACAAAAGGGGAAGGAAGGTTCAACTCCATGTTCAGCAGAAACGATCGTCACAGCTCTCTGCACATCACTGCCTCCCAGCCTGGAGACTCAGCCACCTACCTGTGTGCTGTGGAGGCACAGTGATCCCCAAGCACCTGCAGCCCGCACACAAACCCTGTGGCTGCAGCCCCAGTCATACTCCTTGGAAGAGTGCAATAGGGTGACAACCTCAGAGCTTTTTATTTTTTTCTCCCAGCCTTTCTCCCATCGTTCTAGATCCACATTGGGCACCTTTGAATTGCAGCTCTACCTTATGATTCCAAGATCAAGAGTTTATCCTTTGCTTTCTGACCATCCCCAGGTATCTATCCCTACTGCAGAGCAGCAACAGAAAGCCAGGGCAGTCTGCGGATGCAGATGGAAGCCTGGTCAAGCTCACACTCCTTTTTTTATTGAATTGCTGTTTTCTCATCTTAACTTCTTAATATCTCTTTATACTCACCTCTCTGTAGAAGGACATCACCTGTGACAAAAAATCTAATAAGCATGAAAAAACACCATACACAAGAGTAATCAAGTTTGACAGAATAGCTTATATTCCATATACATTGTACCCTCACCTCCACCTCCAGCCTCACTCATCCACCTCTGTAAAGAAGAGAAAGAGGGAAGGAGAAGCAATATTTTCTCATCTTGCCAAGAGCCAGCTGAATCTCTTTAATTAGGCAATGCCTCCTTTCAATTTTTGATTACAATATACATGGCTGTAATCATTTTTTCCCAAGAATCATCCTACTTCGCTCAGCAGTATTTCATATAAGACTTACCACACTTCTCTGTTGGTCAGTCAAAAAGCAATAGTTAGGCACTAATTACCTCTTAGCATTGTTTTGGATATTAAATGATATGATATTTGGAAGGAGCTTAACATAAAGCTTGGCAC